CAAATTAGTATTACGTAAGGCAAGCAATGACATCTTATCAGCTAGCTTTAACCTGATGTAGCAGACTGTGTATTACATTACACCTTTTTACTGGGAATCTAAATACATTTAAATGGCATAATACATTTTAATAGTAAAACAAACTGACACTAGAAAGACAGATTTTAGTTTACCAATATGTATAGTGTTTTGGCTATTGATGTTACAATAGAGCATATCTTATCATCTTATCTTATCATCAGCTGCAACAGAGACGCCAATAGGACATACTCTTACATGTTTAATGTTGTGTTCATAACTTAAATGAACTGAATATGATTTAAGCTTCAGCAAAAAAATTTATTTGATTTGTTTTACAAATAAAGTCTCAACATACTTCTTGTTTACCATTAGAGTCAAATACATGCTTGGTTGCTATCATGGAAAAGGTTTAGCTGTTATAAAATCTAACATAATTATTTATGACACGACAACTAAACCTTCTCCGTGACAACAGCACAACTCTGCTTAAGATATGTTTAAAAGCTTTGGAAGCAAATATAATTTTGACTTTGAGTTGTTTCATGAGTGCAAGGAATTGAGCCGAACTGTCATATCAGACATAGCTGTCTCAGGTGTGGCTCCTCTATATCGTCTTCTTAAACTGCTCTAATCAGCTTTTTTGTGTTTAGATCTTTCTACTATCCAATGATGACTTGTAAAAATACAAGCAGTGCATACAATTTTGGAATGCAGGCATGCGTGTGTGGGTGGGGTATATGTATACAAGACCGTGACGCATGCTCAAGCATATTGAGAACATCAGATAAGGAACTTATGAACTGTATGTACAGGAATAGCACAATGGTGTTTGGTATGTTGAAATTGACCTGAGGGCTTTACAGATTGAAATGTATGTAGCTAGGTGCAACAGTGCTGTGCAGAAGATAGAACCTGTGTCAAGGGTTTATGAACACAGAGAATGAGAATGACGTTGACAAGAGTTGGCTGTGGTTGTTGGTTGGCACTGGTGCACTTTTGTAATAGGGGATTTCCATGGAGAGAAATTAGTCTCACTACTGGTGGCAAATGCATGTTTAATGAAGTAAAAATTTAGGATTTGTGCACAATCTATTAAGTTAATTTTTCTCAAATATACAAATATGATACATATATGTATCAAACTCATTAATTCTGATATTAATTTTAAATTATTTGTTGTTATATATATTAAATTAATAAATATTAATTAACAATAAATCTGTTCTTGATTATTTTTTTCTCTTAATAACAAAAATAACCAATAAGAGTACTGTTAAATTAGACTGATAGATTGATAAATAGCATTGTTAGGAGCAGTTGCATTAAAATTTGAATGATACCCTTAACAATAAACAAACAAAGTCTCTGTTTACATTCAGAATCAGAATCAGAATTAGGTTTATTGGCAAGTAACTTTTCACACAAACAAGGAATTTGTCTTGGTGCATTGGTGCATAAAATATATAAATCACACAAAAATAAAGGACTTTTTAAAATATAAAAAAGATAAGGATAAGGATAGAAAGATCCAAAACTGTACAGGAAACGGGAGTGCATTAATGTAATGCATATATATATTCAGAGGTCTAACTAACACATTGAATAGGTTTTCTTCCTCATAAGCCCATTTTTCTCATGAGTTTAAAATCAGCATTGTTTACATCAATGTTAGCACTCTTCCCTGCAAAACCCTCACTTAAAACCATCGCTCTACATCGCTATAGTGGCCAAAATCTTTATTATTTATCAAACCCAAAACAAATGACTCTTCTAGTCTCATTCTCTGTCTGGCTGTCGATAATGTGGAATTTAAGTAAATAGTATAGTAAGTAAATAGTAATATAGTAAATAATATAAGGAAATAGAAGTGAAAGACAGAGTCTAATAGAGTGTGACTTCGACTTAATGCCGCTCTAAGGCTAATAGAGTGTGACAAAATTAACGTGTAACACGTGAACAGGAAAGAATACAGCAGGTGACAATCAGGGTAATTACCTACAGTAGGTTTTCTTGGACCTGTATTGTGTTTAGTGGGGAAAAATTCCATTTCAGGCTGTTGTTGTAACAGTTTGGAATGAAGTGCAATATGATAGCCCTGTTGCATTGCAAGACAGTTGAGGAAATGAAAGTCATATGAAATGAGGATATGAAGACAATGTGTCTTTTGTTTTCATTTGTTTGTATCGCTATTATGTGCATCCACCTGTGCTGTTAGTTGCTGGAATAATGTGTTAACCAGAATTGTAATATGATTTAGTCCAAAGTAAATAGCAGTGAAGGACAGATATTTGTGTGGATAAGAATTTTAATGAGTGTGCATGACATTGTCATTAGTCATGTCAGTCAGGTGGAACGTCATTAAAAAATTCACCAGAAAAAACATTTCTAAAATCAGTTTAGTTTTATTGAACAATACAGCTGCACAGTGGATTTTGTGTTTTATGGCACCCATTTAATCTACTAGAGGTTCTCATGTGTGACTTCCTGAAACTACTGCTCAGGGGTTAAAGTGTTGAAGGTTCATTACTTCACCACACAGTGGAGCTGTGGCTCAAGCTTTAATATTGCTTTGCTTGCACTGGAATGCCTGTGTGACATAGATTAGGATGACTATGGCATATAATATTCCATATGTTTAATAAATGAAAACCTGCTGTTCTTGTTTTTTGTATTTAATAGAGTGCCCTATATATGTTGCAGCAAGTTGGTAGGCAAAAAACCAAATGTTTCAACCATGGAGAGGGTTCTTATTACTCTTGTAGTTCATGTTGCTGATTTTATTTTCTAGTCATAGATAACATTTTTCATTTCTGCCTTGTGTTTCTGCCCCAGCATCCATAGAAGACTGACTAGGAAATGAAGAGCGAGTTCGGATTTCCTCTGTGGTTAAGCTTTTTCAGATCATCAGACCCTATCATATTTATAATGAAACTTTTTCACTGAAAAGATGGTTGAACCTCGCTTTTGTTCTATTGTAACATTATACTATAAAAGCAAAAGCAAAATCCTGCTGCTTGCTCGGTTTCTCTTCTGCAAGTCAACAGGAAGATAAATTATAATTTCAGAGACAAATGATTAGATTGACGCTAGATATGTTTGGTGAACTGCTGAAAAGGTCATGCCAAAGAGGGACTCCAAATGTCAAACACCCGTCTCTGAAGTTTAAGCCTTTGTAAGATCTGATGGATTGATATTCTTTTCCAGACTCCAAAAATGTCATGACTGATATTTTGATGCAGAATGTGCGTTTGCTTCTCCAATAATGGTAATTAAGCATTGATGGACGTTTGTGAAACACATTGGCTTAGTGATATGAACTTCTGATGTGCGTGTGTGCACTTTGTTGTGCAATGTGTGCTTTGCTTTGGAACGGTCGTGGGAGTGTTATTTTGAGCAAATACCCCTGACCTTTATTGCCCTTAGTGCCCTTTCAATCCAAGATCGAATTTCTAACAGTGATAACCACCTGAGGCACTATAAACCAAAAGCAGCACATTAATAGTTTGGAGGGCATTTATATTGTAGCAAATGTCACTATTTGCATGCCGGTAAGTCTCTGAGGCTTCTGTTTACCAACCACACCAATAAAGGAATATTCTTTTTCGTTTTTCACTTCATATACCAACCTTTTTCTATTTGTCTTGCCTAATTGGGGTAATGGTACAGTCATCCATGTGCAACACGTGACTAAACACAGACAAATAGGTGCTGAAAATATTATGTGAATTTTAAACCATCCATTATGATGAAATCTTACCAAGCAAGAAGCCATCTGAAACCTGTGCGCACCAAGAGGATGCTGGGAAACAAGAGGAGCAAACAAGTTTGGAAGAGCCGTACACTGATGTTTTTAATCACATTGCTGTGTGCTACAGTGTCCTTTTTGATGCTACCATGAGGGGCACCAAAGTTGGACATTTTCACATTTTCAACACATTGCTTTAAGATCATGAAATACCCCACGGTCAGCACATATGGCAGGATATGGTAAGTGTTGATGGCAGAGCAGAGTTCCCTGGAGGCTTCAATTGTCCTGAACTGTCAGAGGAAGTCAGATTAGATTTCTTCTTTAAATGTGTGGAAGCAGATTATAAAGCAGATCTTGACAAACTAGGCCACACAATGGCATGGTTTAATCTACTCTTGGAAATCCAAAAAGCTGTCAAATCTAAATCTAAATCTAAGATTTGTTTTTTTTTTCATAATAATAATAGCTCAGAATCCAAGTATTGGTCTTGTTAAAAGCTGACCAAATTATTATTATTATACATAACGTGTCCACATAGAAAATAAGCGTTAATCTGTCTGTTAAATATCATACAGACATGAGTGGTATTGATATTCTCATCTAACTATTGTCAAAACGGCAAATTAGCATATTTCCCAAGTTTGTGGATTTTAAGCTTGTTCACTGCACATACTGCACATATTCAGTTTAATTCATGACATTTTATATAGCCTACAGTAAAACAAGTCCCTGTAAGTCAGAGTAACAGACAGGATCACACGCTTGCATTACATTTTTACAGATTTTTTTTAATTAGGTAAACATCTGGTTTTTCAGAAATATATGATTTTCCAGTTCCAAAATTTTTTGCATTCTTAACAACTTTACTTACTTATAGGGTTAGGGTTAAAATGTGTAAAATGTACCAGAGGTGGCATTCTTTACACTTCTTACAAATTAATAAAACTGTAGAAATGGGTGGTTCGAAGGTTTCTCCAACCTTAGACAGAAATAAACAAGACACCTTTCAAATACCTTTTCAACTTAAACTGTCTTTTCTTTAGCTGATATATTTGTTTTGTCAGACACGCAGCATGAAGGAACGAGTTTTGTGGTTCAAGCTGAAATGAAAGAGCTCAATAGAGTTACGTGCGAATTAATTCAGAAAACATGTGCCATATTTTCCTGAGAAACTGTTCCTGTCTATTATGACATGTCATAAGAGTAGAGGTAAAACGTAATCCAGCAGTGCTCATGCATCTTCATTGGTTGTAATATTGGAAAGTTTAAACCTGTCCTCCTCCTCCTTCTTCTGCTTCTCTTGCACTTCTCTTTCCAAATGATATCCGATTATTAGCTGGTACATCAGCACACCTACCACTGCTCCCAGGAAGGGGGCGCAGATGGGCACAAAGAACCAGTAGGTGTGTGCTCTGTAAGAAATTAAATGCAAAAAAACAAATAAAATGCATGCATGGTGTCATTTTACAGTTTTTATTCAATTTACCTACTGTAGCAGGTTATTAAAATAAGAGGCTATATCAGAACTTACACAGATGCAATGTTGTGGGTCAGGAAGTAAGTGAGACATTCTAGTTTTAATATATTTATTTATTTATTATATTTAAGGGGCACTCCACCAAATTAACACATGAAGTTCAGTTTACTTGTCATAAGAAATACTACTCAGCGGATGAAACAATTGTATAATGTCCCCTAAGGAGCTTTCTTGAAAAAATCCTTATGATAAAAGTGTGCATCTGGATGCAGAGAGGGTGGAAATATGCCATTGTTTATGGGAAATGTAGTATCCAGTGTTTTTAGTGCTGGACTCTGTGGGTGGGCTAAAGATCATGATATTGCTGCCTCTGTTGCTTTGATATTGACCAATATTGTTGCTTGTGAGTTCCCCAACTTTATAGAAGTGATATACCAAATCCCTGGAGTACACCTTTAATACTGTATGTAAGATTATGTTCCTTTTACTCATCACACGACTTGGTTTCGAGAGACATTTGCTTTATGATTCTGCCACAACATTTCATCCAGTCTTCTTTACATCTCCTGGGCCACCTATGGGTGACGTCAATGCTACTTACAGTTAAACCTGGCATACTGTTTTAGCCCAGAAGAGCACTGTACTCACGTGAAAACCTCTCCACCCCAACCAGCAAGAGCCGTGAAGATGCGTGGTCCCAGGTCCCTGGCTGGGTTGACAGCATAGCCAGAGTTGAAGCCCATCGACAGCCCGATGACCAGCACCACAAAACCAACAGTGAAGGGCTCCAGACCTCTAGGGATTGGATTATTGTATGGATCCACTATCGCCAGGATGCACACAATCAGTGCTGCTGTTCCAATTATCTGAGATACAGTAGGGAGAATGCTCTATTAATACTTAGTATTTACATTTATTTGATGTGATCTTTAATTATTTTAATGAAAGAGAGACAAAAACTCCTTCTGTTTTGATTTCTGTCAAATCAAGAACTTTTTGATATTTCATCATGGAGATATTAAAAAGCCCTTTTAATCACCAAACCTCACGTTATAATTAATTTGTCCTGTGATACCCCTGAGGCATTATTATTATTAAAGATTGTTTCGCCTATAAGAAGTTATGATATTTACAGTAAATTTGTTCTAAAATTGTTGACATGCCGTAAACTAAAAACTTCTCTTAAAGAAAAATAAATATGAAATATGGCAATCATGTCAACTTTTTCATCAGAAAACAGCATATCATAGGACTTCCACTGTCCACTGATGTATTCTGAAACGGAAACACTACAAAGAAAGTTCAGCTGAAGATTGGGTGTTTTCTTCAATTCGCATAGTTGCATCACTGCAGGTCAGTACTTAAAAGCAATCACTTTCACAGTAAATGTACACTGTAGATATGGTATAGATTACTTCACATGCTGTGACATGTCACGATCTATATGAGCGCTGCAGCAGCAGCAGTGCTAGCTAGTGGCCCCTGCTGGCCAGGGTCAGCACTGCTGTTGCAACAGAGCTGCAAAGAGCTGAAAAGTTGAGCCATGTGTATTGCAGTTTTTGTGAGATTGCATTGCTGGCACTGCACTGTTTCCGTATCAACAGGGGTCTTGAAACTAAGATAAAGTGAAAGACAGTCAGTCTACAGGAGCAAGAAAGCTGTTTAGTAAGCATGTCTATGTGGCGTGGTGAGCATATAGCTGTAAATGTCTTCTCAACTGCTTGGTAGAGCACACTTGGAGTCGTGATTTTTGCTGCTGCAAAAGCGCCCTACGTGTTGTCAACAGAAAAGGTTGGGTAGTAACGGATTACAAAAAATATTGAACTATTATCAACTCAGATTATATTTTGAAAAATGTGTAATTATATTATAGTTACATAGTCAAGAATTACTTGACTACTAAAATATTTAACTAACTAAAATTATTAAACTTTTTTTTCCATAGCCAATGCTCTCCTACTGCTCTATTAGTTTTGTTAATGATGACTTAACTAATATTTGTTTTTGTTTTAATAATAATGTATGGACAATTATTTTTTTACTTTTTTATTTACATTAAAAATGGAAGATCAAGATTTTGACTTAGCGCTCGTCCTGCATTGCATAAGCAAAGTCCTCCATGCAGCCTTTGAGAAAAAAAACAGCAGCAACTAAAACTTACACAAACGAAACAGAATCCCACGTTGTAGAATACACACAGTAGTGCTTTTGTAAGGGTAATTTGATTTGACCAACTGTAAATGCTTCATATGCAAAATGCTAAGTGTTTTGAGATATTTTAAGAGAAGAAAAAATATGTGAAACTCATATTTTTTGGTTGCATCTATTTATTTAGTGTAAGTGCAATATTTTATTTTGAAGTAATTCAGTATTCAAATCAGATTACTTTTCTTTGTAATCCAATGGATTACGTTACTAATTACAGAAAAAAATATAATGTGTAATTTGTATTCAGTAACTGACTACATTTCAAAGAAATCTGCCCCAACCCTGTCAATAGATTATGTTTAATGTGACATCTGTGCTAGGAATATAAATTCTTTTTACGTGTAGCCATCAGCTGCAGGATTATGTGCATGCGTTATGTGCGTTGCATTTGCAGTGTCCAGCTTTTGGATGCACAGTGCGTTATTTTACCTTCATTAATTATTTGAATCTTCCGACACAGCCGGCTCTAACTGACCTTCCTTTCCTAAACACTTACAAGCTGTTCCACACAGATTACAAGTTTAGACAATCAGATTAAATGAGTAGTGACACTGTCCTGCTCATTACACTGTCCGCTGCTTTTAAAAGGTTAAAGAGGATGAGAGGAGCTGATATGATGTGATTGGTTATTAGGGCATTTTGGATCATCATATTTCTATATAATACTTATGAGCAGTAAGGATTGGGACTTCCAGCTGTGAGCTAAGTCCTATGCCCTGCTATGTCCACAGTACACTTTGTCTTTATGAACTGTCTCTTGGAAGATAAACTTTTATTTGAGGCAATGCTGCTGTGTATTCAGCTCCACCAGACATGCATCACTGTGACCTCAAATATCTATTAATGTCTGTGATTGTTTGAAGCATATAACATTGAGGGTATTGTCTAATACGACAGACAATGGACACTGATGGAAAATGACTGGTACGTATAGAACTTGCGATGTGCTTCAACTGGAGTGTACCATGCTTTAGATGAAGCCATGATTCCCACTAACTAGAGGTGAAATGCAAGAAAAGTACATCATTGTTACCTGATCAAAGAATCCATTAATCAGGGTGAGATGTTTGGAAGGATATGTGGCAAAAATCCCAGCTGTGGCATTCTTCCCCACTACCAGCTCCCCCTGGCTGAAGTCCGATAATGCATCTGGTGGAATAACGTACAAATCACTTTACTTAAAATAAAACTTAACATTTTCTTCAATTATTAATTAATTAATTGATTTAAATTAATTATTAATTAAAATCTCGTAGAAACTCAGCTGATTATTTGAACTACATCGTCTTTCAACTGCCATTTTCCATTTAAAAAGGTAAAATTGCTGCCACACTGAATTACAGCTTACATTCAAATCAAATAATATCATTAAGATGAGTGCAAATTTTAGGTTAAATTGGTTAAATGATGTATGTTTGAGAAATAAAGTTGACAGCGACTGCAAACAGTAATACACTCAGTTTCTTGTTTACCTTTAGCTAGGTTCAGCACTGAATGGGATCCAATGAATGCATAAACATATAGAAAGTAGATACAGCCTCAGAGCCACTATCACAGCTATAGACTCTGAGTCTTGTTCATATTTTAAAAAAGTAGAAACTTTGCGTGTTATTCTCATAATACCTAAATTTGATTCAATTCTTTAGGCCTATATTTGCCAGTAAAATCCAGCTCTTTAAAAGTATAACCACAATCATTTATTTTAGAGTTCAATAACTACAGCATGAGTCTTTACAAAAACAAAGGTGAAGTATCGGTGTGTTAAATTCATCCTCTGTGATAGAGATTCAGTTGAAGAAAGCCACTAAATGTGGAGCATATTAGTCAAGCGCTGCAAACAGGTGCAAGTGTACATGCTCATTTGTTCACTGACATGTTTGCCCAGAGCAAACAACCATTTAGTTCTTTTGTTGCTGACAAATTCTTAATTGTCACCACCAAGCTGCTGTTGAATTAAATCGAAGGTTCAAAAACGCATAAACCACTAAGTGTACCGCAGAGTAGACTACAACAATCTTGATTTGTCAAATGATTAGAGGTTCTGGTTAAACACAAATATTTTTATTAATCTGATCATTCTTCTTCCGTGTCACATACCAAAATACCTGGCAAATACAATTGCTGCACCCAGAAAGGCTCCAAGAGTCTGGAACAAAAAGAACAACGGGAACTTCCTCCAAGGCTCTCTTCCAAGAAAACACAGTGTGAATGTCACCGCTGGGTTCAGATATTCATTCCTATCCTTAATTTCTCATTTATATTGGCCATTTTGTATTGTGTTTGTTTATTAATGGATTTTATGTGTTACCCCTGAAGGTTGGATTGTCCTTAAAGATCCAGTGTGTAGGATTCTATGTGATTCAGGTGGAGAAAACAAACACATGGAGGCTGCTTTGTCTCTACTGTATGCAGTACAGCCCTTTTCTTAGCGACACAGTAGAAATGGTTCTAAGCCTCAATATTCAGTAATTGCGGTTTCAGTAAGTCCTGTTAAGATGGAAGGTCTCTGTAACACAAATTAAATTGGCGGGATGAAAAGATTCAGAAAAGTATCCTTTTTCTAACCTTGAAGGGGGAAATAACTGCTCTGATGACACTCTCATGTGGGTGCCTTGCTTGTATTCACACCTTAATCGTGTCAGGGTAGGAGCTATCTAATTATAAGAGCTTATTTTTCCAGCTGCAATGTGTATTAGAGGGGGGACAGCCTCATTATAAAAGCATTGAAGAAGTGAGCATGAGTGAACCGTGGAACCCTTTGTAGTGTTGCTGCTTTTAACAGTAGATACTGGGATTGAGGATTGACTCGCTCACTTTCCTTTCAATTACAGACCACGTAGGTTTCATAAGTGCCCGCACCGTCTGTGTGTGTGTCTTTTAAACTTTGCATTCCTCTGTCCACTGCTTCCTGTTCTGCTTTCCCTACCGCCTCTACCTGTCATGCATCAGCTGGCAAACACATCAGTGTGGTAAATACTGCACTTCAGATAACTGCCAGTTTACCTTTTGCTGATGTTTTGTGTCTGTCAAGCCATCAATAATAATGACTCTCTCTTATGCTGATGGCAGTTGGTGTAAAAAAAGCTGAGTCTTGTGGAAAGACTGAATGACAGGTATGCAAATGACTGTAGCTCACAAGTGTGTTTTTTTTCCCTTTTATTAGATTAACACTTCTGTTGACTTTGGTTTTACTCCCTCGTTGTTGTTGTTAATGTATGTATCAATATATAATAATAATTATAGTAAAGCGAAGGGAGCTCAGCTGTTTTTAGATATGATACATATGATTTCTGAAATTTTGGGAGGTCTCTATAATATTGATAATATTAATTCTCTCCTTGGCGTGCTTTTCTATGTTTTAGTTTCTTTATTATCATGGATGATTTGTAAAAGGCTGTTATTATTATCATATGTAAGAACAGATTTATATTGGTTCCACCGCCCCACACTGCTCTACTATATGATTAGACTATGTTTTATTTACTTTAAACAACTTTTGGGAAGGATTAAGGGTTAAGGAGATTTTTACAGAAAGGACCTCTTGAAATACAGATACAGTATATCCTCACCTGAGATCTGCCCACTAACAAGGATGCCCAAAGTTGCGGCAAAACCAAAAGCAAAGTTGACGGTGAGGAACGTGCCATGGGAGCCTCCGCTTAGGACCATCTGTGCTACTGCACCACAACCAAACATTTGGATAATTGAGGGGGGAAACACTTCAGAGAAACAATCTGGAAATATTTACTGTACATATCTACCTTTTATCCCTTTTACTAATTTTCCCAAACAACAAACTTTTTACCATTTTGAGATCCAACCAGGAAGATGCAGTCAAAAACAAACCCTGAGATGAAGTTATTTTTGTGGACAGACAGTAGTAGAAAAACTTCAAAGAGAATAATAAAGCCCCACTGTGGCCTGACCTCGAGTCAGGTGTCTAGCTGAGTCTTGCTTTTCGTCGTATCCAGGGTGTGTCTCTCTGACCTCGGAGGTCATGTGTATGTTATGGTTGGGCTTTGTGTGGGACTATTGATGCCGACAACAATCTGACTCCACCCGCAGAGCCTGCTTCCACAGAGGGCCAGCTCTGACCACTGAGGGGACCTGATCGCCAGCAGACCTGAAAGGTCTCCTGGAATTAACAGATCAGTCACAGCCGGGGAGCAGAATAACAAATAGCCTGGTGGTTCACCGTTGGTCCCCTCTCCTGATATTTTTGTTGTCTGTGGGTGCTCATGAGAAGCAGAGGGATTCCAGGCTGTTTTGCACAGGCTAAAAAACGTTTTAATTCGAAAGAATCTTGTGGATTGTGTTGGGTTAGGTGTCAGTGGGGACTTCAGATGCTGTGTGAAGTTTTCTATCATTAGCAAAGTATATGGATATAAAATAATAAGGTTCTATGCATGTAATTTAAGTACAAAGAAGGTAATAGCACAGAAGATAATTGATGGAGTCTTAGGTGCTTCAACTTTAAAGTTCTTATGAATATAGTTAAAATTGCTCAGTCTTTGCTCCTCTACGAAAGTAGCACTTTAATGAGAAGAGAGCAGTAGTTACACTTTATTTACCTTTTAACACTACTGTAAGTGTTTTTGCTTTGAACAACCTAACAAAAAACTGAGGAAAATTTAACTTTTTGTCATCAAACAACTAAACTCTTGCCAGACACGGTAGCACCCTCACCTCTATTTCTACACAAACATGTTGGACAAGAAGGACACAGAATCCCTTGAGGCATTTTCAAAAGATATTTTTCTCTTTCCTCATGCTGAACTGAAAAGCTGCTGGGAGGCTTTAGGATATGTTCTTAGTGAGAAAAAACCTTGCAACTTATGAACCATTTATTATCATTATTATGTGCTTACCTGTGATATGACCATCTCACATCTTTAATTAATGATGGCTTTGGTTATGCAGTGACTCCATAGTGTGAACTCTTTCTTGAATGTCTCTTTTTTGGATTTGTTGATGATCGTAGGCATACTTTTCATCTCAATATGCTATACACTGCTCTATATGTTTATTTTATTTTTTGTTTTTCATTCACTGACATCGTCTACGAAAAAACTGGCAAAGCTCATACTGTACATGCAAGTGGGTAAGAAACTGTATGTTTAACAAATACAATAAAAGGTACTAATAGCCAAAGTAAATGGCAAAAGGAACCAAATATGAGGCATGATATTTTTTACACTAACCATGCAGCCATGTCAGACTCTTATTTAAGCGTAACCAAAGGTACATTTTAATTCCCCCCATTTTCTAAATAGTACAATAACACACATTCCCATTGTATTTAATGGTAGCAGACAATAATCGGAAGAAAATCCTACATTCAATTTTAAATTGAGTTAATAACTATTTTAGACAGGGTATGGTAAACATTTAGTAGTTTAGTCTATTATCCTCTTTTACTTCAACAAAAAGATCCACTCAGCATCCTGCAGGAGGGATGCAAAAATACTCTTTACTCACCACCAGAATAAGGGTTCCCAGGCACTCTGCCAGGGCCTGGCGGAGGAGCACATGACGGATCTGAAAGGTCTCAGCCAGTTTTTCCAAAATGTTGTTTTGTCTTCCCATGATGCAGTTATTATAAGATTATCTTGAGGTTGGCTCAGTGGTCTAACAATAAATGTGAGTCAGTGGCTGTGCATCAGCTTTTAGGGGTCTCCTCAGGATCCCTCCCTTTTTGTTAAAAAAAGGGGCTACTTTGGACTGCCTTCTCTTCCTCACAGTGTTTGGGGCTGCTGAACTCCTTTGACTTCCTTTCAGCATTTCTCTCTCTACAGCACAGCCAAATATGAAGCTATAAAGTTTACTCCTGAAGCTAAATGATGGGTGTGTTTCAGGGATTCTTGCCCTAGTTTAAAATTATACAAAACTCCAATTAAAATATAAGTCTTTCAGTACATAATTGTGTACATTTATCAAATCTGGAACTTCATCCTGAGGGACATAAGATGACGAAAGCTCTTTACCAAACCGATCGCTCTTCACTGGCCCTTCACAAGTCGCACTCACAGTGGAGGACTCTCCACAGCTGTGAGTGCGAATAAGGGGGAATATATAAATAAACAGGTAAACTGTGATGCACACAACACTCTCTACCATAAGTACGAAGTATCCATCACCATGGATACTGATAGATGCCGTGCTCACCCAGTTGCTATTCACTGTTTCATTGTAAATGCACTAATGCCTCTTTACCTTCAGTATACGGATTACACTTGGAACATTGTACTGTTCCTATAATTAAAGTTTAAAGGAGTTATTATGTTATCCTTATAAGGAAGAAATTAATTTTTTGGACTGGACAAGAAAAATGTGCATATGATTTGGACACTGATTGTTGAAACATCCTCAATGTCTTATAATGACATCAGTCAGAACAAATGATTAGGGTTTTCTAAATGCAGTCAACTGTATTTTTCCATAACACATTTAACTATTAAAAATAGTGCATTTTGCTTTGCGTACCCTACTGTTAGTTTCATTAGCAGCACTGCAAGCAAAGACTGGTGTGGCATATTTCACACCTTATTTCAGCATTGGTTGGGTTTTAAGAACGAAACAAATTTTGGGGTGTTGATTTGAGTTTACCTGCAGCCGGTTCCTCATCTCTGCTTTAAGATAGCAGCTCAAGCATAACACAGTAGCATAACACACCCGAATTGCTCTCATCCAAATGTAATGCAGGGTCGAGGAAGAAGAATGTATGGAATAAAAAAGAAAAAATCTTTGCTTATGCTGCATTGATTTTGATACTTTTCATCATGAGTCTGATAATCTTATTAAAGTGTAATACTAAACCAGTGCAGTAGAGTTTATATTGTGGTCAGAAAAGCACATATGCCTTAATGAAGCTGTGTTCAAATTACCACAAACTAACTGACAGAGAGAACCTAGGACCGTGCATATTCTGCAGTGTGCACCGTGCTTGACTGGAATCTGGAGTCTACAGGGTACACAACGGGTAATCCAGCCATGTGCATCATAATTATTTGTGGAGAAAATCAGGGCTGTTGATGATGAAGGTTGAGGCTGACCTTGCTAATTTGTTAAATTAGAAAGCCTTGAACCTTCAGTTATCAAAGTACCATGTCAGTGTTAATCTGAGCAGGAAAAAAGCACAAAGAGGTGTTTACTCAAAGATGTTTTCACCTTGCAGTAACATTCAACTATTCACCAGCGTGTGTGTGTGAGAGTGTGTGTGTGTCCTTGCATTTGTGCAACCCTCCTCAAGCAGGCTAATGCAAGTGTTATCATTATCTTGGAGAGCACCGTAATTAAGACGTTCACATCTCCTGCTTGGTTCAGCGTATTAGTGCGATAGGAATGGCCAGAGGAGAGAACTTTGATGGTTTATCTTGAGGTTAGTTAAAATCAGACTGACTTGCTGTTTTGGCACAATGCAGAAAACACCCCCATGATAACCCCAATTAGCATATTTATTCAAATCCTGATTTATTTACAGATGAAGCTATTTGTCTAAGATTTTCCCTGACCACGGTTTTCACAATATCTTCTCTCATGAGGCTGCTGCATTTATTTTTGTGCTGTCTGTGAGTCACATTGCCACGGAAAGTAAGGGGCTTATGTATTTTCCTTCCTATTATTATTATTATTATTATTATTATTATTATTATTACTTTTCAACATAAAATGCTAACTTACAGCATCTCCTTGGTAGAACTTCAGTGAACTGAAACACTGAATACCTGCAGTGTATATGCTGAAGATTATATTTAATTATAACCACATTTATGAAAATCCAAATTTTTTCAATCCATAAATGGATTAAAAATAATTGCATCAAATAAAGAAGTGTACATTCATATTGCAAGTTATTTTCATGGAATAGCTGCCTTTATACTTGAGCAGGCATGACCTCACCCACACACAAAATATACAGCCAAACACACACACACATCGTCTTCCATCAGGATATATAAGACACAGCATGTCCCAACCAGCAGGCTGTCACTTCCACTAAAATGCTGGGTTTGTTTGGTTGAAGCCTCATGCGTGCAAAAATGAATAGGTTTTTTAAATAAAAACCACAGTGATGCTCACTCTAGTTACCCCCGATTGTTTGTCTCTCTGATATTGACCTACCACTACCAACCGCAGTGAGGGCAGGTTTTCATCTTGTCTTTGCACTTTAAAAATTAAACACACATGCTGATGATTTATATTTTATATTCCTGAGAAGGATTCATAATGCATTATGTTGCGTTTTGTGAACAAAATCAAAGGTCATATATTGTTCTTTGTAAAACATCATGCAATGTGTTTCCGGTGTGGGGGGGAGGGGGCAAAGCAAGAAAAAAAGATAAATAGGTATAAGCTTATTATTTACATCGACATAATTATGCTTGGTGTCGTCCCCCGCTTCCTCTGAATAAAATCAGTTTCTATTATCGGTGGATTTTATGAAAATTCACGGCTAATGCTCGAAGGTGCTCAGTGTGTGTGGACACAGTCAGGAGAGTGGCACTGCATTAACATAACATCAAGCTTACATCCCTGTATCAAGCTAATCAGTATTCCTACTGTCATATTAGTGTGGCACTCAGAATCTAAAATATACAGGTATCAGGTAATATCACCAATCAGCCATGTCTGTATATGCTGCAGTTACACTCGAATGGAATTTAAAGAAAAAAAAAAACAGCAAGCAAAGGCTGGAAAAGGTGATGTAGTGTAATGAGAGTGCACATTATCTCTGCTGTTGTGAGGAGGGCAATTGTAACAAACAGTATACCTTACAGGACATCATGTAAGAGCTCCAGCAACGTGTTCTGTATACAGGTATAGGCACGGAACAGGAACGCTATGCTGGCATTTGTTTTAAAAGGGGATTTTCTTTTTAAACTTAAAATGATCGTAGGGGCCTTTATTTTGCCACCATCTTCTTGCATATGTTGTCCACTCTAAATGTTAACAAATGGTTTAAATAAACAAGAAAAAAACCTAGATTTGGTGATTTTGAATTTTTAAGATAAACTGAAGAATTAATTGCTCCTTTATGGGTTGAGTAATTCTTCACTTGTTAAATGAAGCTGAAAACTGAGCAGCTTTTCACAAGACAGTGATGAAAATTGTGAGGCACAAAAAAGCAACTGGAAGAGGAAAAAAACAACAACTCCTCCAGCTAATTCTGTATGCAGAAACACACATGCAGAGATCTATCCTGTGCATATACAGAACAGTAATGTATCTCTTAGCTTTCAGCATGGACTAATAAAACCACCAGAGTGCCATGCAGTATATGCTCTTTGTGGAGTAAAAGTATATTTCACTCAGCATTGATTCAGTACCATTCATGATTAACACTTTGTCTCTCCTTCGCTTCTCCTGCCTTTTCTTTATAAAGCCCTAAATGGACTAATAATAATTTATTTTACTGTTTTATGTAAAGGTAAAATAAGAAAGCACATACACACGCAATCATGATTGCGGCTTACCCGACAGAATAAATATGTTTTGTTTTATTTAACTAATAGGAGCAATGGTAGAGAGCTAGAAAGAATTGGATGGGAAGAATGCGAGGGTCTGGGTTTGTGCTGAATCACAGTCCATTATAACAACACTACCCAGAAGCACTTTACTATATGTGGTGAAGCAAATGACCAACTTATTCCCTTTCCTTTCCCCTAAGCTGAATATTATGCATGCAACATGCAGACAAGGATTTGCAATTAGTTCTTATGCAGAATTTAATGCCCAAGACATGCATATGCTGTATCCATGTAAAGCATGTTAAGTATGTTAGAACCCGTCATACGGGTAGTGATTCATAATGGTCAGTATTGTTAAAAAATAAAATAAAACAAATAAATAACCCCCATTCAGAAAAAGAGGAACATAAATAGTTTGGTGGGTGGTCACTATCAACAACCACACTGGTGAAAGGCTGAACAAACACATGAACCAACAACTGCAGCCCTTGTGTTTCCCACATTTCTGTCTCACTTGTGGAATGAATAGTAGGATGGTAACCTTCATACCTATTAACGTATTGTGGCAGGTACAGTTTTCACTCCATTGCAACATTTACTTTATTTTTAAAGTGGCTATAATACAGATTTTTATTTAAAAAACAAAACAAAGTACAGTAACAACTAATGTGAAAACAACATGATATTGTTTTAAGGTTGTTTGTAGTGATAAACCTACAGAGAATTATCACCCAAATCTGTAGTTCCCCTCTGCTTTATGGAGCTTTATAGTGAGTTTCAGCTTATTCTTTAGCTGTGTAGTCACAACTTCACTGTTTTGATTCACTCTCACAGTTCTCATGGCATCGTTTTCAGCCACAGCAGGCAGCTGTTTTCAGTGAAAAAGCTCTAAAACCCCCTGAACACTACCTGATCAGAACCAAATGGCAGACAGGCACAGTTAGGGGTCAACAAAGTGGAGCATTTAGCAGGTAAAGGGGCAGATTTTTCCCTCAGGAGTTGGCAGAAACAAAAACAGAGCTAAAAGAGGGAATATTGGACTTATGTTCTCCAGGTGGTTAACAGTTTCACCATATCAACTGATGATAGTGTGTGTCAATATTCTGTTAGCTTGTTCCT